TAATTAACGCCCAATAGCAGAAAAGACGATTTTCAAAGAATTAATGCATTTTCACTATATAATTTACATAGCCCCACCTAAGCACTAGAACCCCTGACCCCTGGGCTATTAATTTCACAATTATGGTAAAGGGCTCAATGCTGATTACAATCATGCAAACAGTTTGACTGCTTGGTGTAAAGAAGAAGATCTAGATTAAATTAAATTTAGTTGTTTTGGACCCACTCCTCAGACCCCAGGGGGGCAGGGGCCATAAAATTCACAATTTTTGTTCCCCTTTCACGCACGTATGATTTATGCCACACTTGGTTGAAATCGGTTGGGTAGTTGTAGAGAAGAAGCTGTTGATGTTCAAATATTTACGTACAACGAACGACGCACACCGCACGACGACGGACGAAAATGAATAGCAACAGGTCACCTGAGTTTTACTCAGGAAGTTGTGTCCTTGGGAAAGGAACTTTACACGGATTTCCTCACTCCACCCAAGTGTAAAAGGGGTACCTGGCTATAGACAGTGAAAGATATTGTCAGCTTGTTAGTGTTCTAGAACCTTAACGGCAGCTTGTACAGAGAAAGATTCTGGATTGTTATGGTCTGCTGGGGTAATAAGGTATTGTAAAGCGCTTTGAGTAGAAAAGCCCTTTACAAAAAACAATCATCATATTTATTATTATTATTATTATTAAATAATCTTTTTTAAAAATATTACACTTTTTAATGAAAGAACTAAAAAGTCATTTAAAATGTAAAGTAAACTTTATCAAATTACAGAAAACATAAAAATGAATGGTTTTATAAGAGGTTACATGTAACTGATATTGGCATATATCGGGATCCTAATATTTGATTGGGGTAAGTTTACTAAAATAAAAAAAAAATAAAAAGAATTAAATATAGTTGTTTTGGCCCCACCCCTTAGACCCCAGGGGGGCAGGGGCCATAAAATTCACAATTTTTGTTCCCCTTTCACGCACATATCATTATATGCTTGATGCCACACTTGGTTGAAATCGGTTGGGTAGTTGTAGAGAAGAAGCTGTTGATGTTCAAATATTTACGTACAACGAACGACGCACACCGCACGACGACGGACGAAAATGAATAGCAACAGGTCACCTGAGTTTTACTTAGGACGTTGTGTCCTTGGGAAAGGAACTTTACACGGATTTCCTCACTCCACCCAAGTGTAAAAGGGGTACCTGGCTATAGACAGTGAAAGATATTGTCAGCATGTTAGTGTTCTAGAGCCTTAACGGCAGCTTGTACAGTGAAAGATTCTGGATTGTTATGGTCTGCTGGGGTAATAAGGTATTGTAAAGCGCTTTGAGTAGAAAAGCCCTTTACAAAAAACAATCATTATATTTATTTTTATTATTATTATTATTAAATAATCTTTTTAAAAATATTACATTTTTTAATGAAAGAACTAAAAAGTCATTTAAAATGTAAAGTAAACTTTATCAAATTACAGAAAACATAAAAATGAATGGTTTTAAAAGAGGTTACATGTAACTGATATTGGCATATATCGGGATCCTAATATTTGATTAGGGTAAGTTTACTAAAATAAAAAAAAAAAAAAGATATACCATCTTGCAACCCTGCACAAGAATAATTTAATTTAATTTAAAAAAAAAAATACACACAATATTGATAATATATTTATAAGTTAAACAAAATATTCTCTTCCAATTGAAGCGTTTAATTTTTTCTTATACAATACATTTTGAGTTTAATCCTACCCTTTACCAAATTAAATTTCAGGTTTCATTTTTTAGCATTCTAGAGTTTTATTCCGTGCCCTACAATAAATCAAATTACCTGATTTCCATAATATACGCCATAGTATACATATACATTTGATGACAGAATAATAAAATTTCTAAAACAGAACCAACATTCTAATAACTTTTTTGACTTCGTGTAAGAAATAAAATCATTTAAATCTTCCTGGTTCGTACCTTTTTAAAGTAAACAATCCCTTATTTTCCTCAATTCTACCTTAGAGATCGATCAGGGAAGGCGAGCAAGATGAAGAGTTCCTTAATATCTTTATGTCTTCTTTCTTCTTATGTGTGTGGAATAACGGCATTTTGTAAGGTTTTATATATTTTTTCGAAATCATTTATGCCTTGTAAATTTTTTTTTTGATATGTTAAAAATACAGATAAGACTTTTTTTCTCCAAAATTAAACAGATCAAATATTACAAAATTAGTAATATGGATACATATATATATATATATATATATATATATATATATATATATATATATATATATATATATATATATATATATATATATATATATAGGATCTCACGTGATTTTAGTTTTATATAATATTTATCCAACGCGTAGTGTGTTTTATATTCCCGAGCCTTGGCGATTCTTTTTATCCCATGTTTTATACACAACAATCAATGTTTATAAACACTGTTTTCATATAGGACTCCACTTCATTATTTTTCATAGCTCTAACGCAAAACCCATGTTTCGTCATAACTGTTTGATTCGAAAACGATATCATATGACCTATATGAATGGGATAAAAGGTTAGGAATGGGTAAAAATGATATTATAAACTTTTGTTTCTCAAAAAGAAAGAAAACCTAAAGCAATTTGCTGAATTGAAAACAAAATTGCAATTATTTATTTTTATTTTATTCTGCCTGTGCTGCATTTTCTGTCGTTACGATTATTTTAGTACATCGGTTTCTGTTAATTTTCACAGTATTTTTAATTCAATTTGTGTGATAAATGAAATCAAGAAAAAAGTTCCAACAAGCGGCATGTTCTCATAAACAAGCAAATAATAACTCTGCTTTTTCAAAATGTAGCAGACATAAGTTAAGGGTATTTTTGCAAAGTACGTCAAGGGACGGTAATGATGGTGTATTTCATAATATTTGTAACAGGGCCAACATTTCGATTGCTCTTTTGACTTGGTGTAAGAAAATGGGTTATTTAAATCTTCCTGGTTGGTTCCTTTTAAAATAAGCGACCCCTTTAATTGCTCAATTCAATGCTGTCTGACGTTTTTCATACTAATTGCTAGTCCGTTATTTATACACTGAATTGACGACGGATTTTCCGTAATTTCTCGATCATTACAAGGAGCACTGTTACTATGTACAATGCACTTTGAAAAATTACGCACTTAATTTATTTTTCAATGCTTCTGAAGATATCTTGTGAAAACAAAAGTGTAATAGATAAACAGACACGGGGACCAGAATTACAGTAATTATCCCCGACTTTCAGTGATAATAGTAAAAAAATATTCTCATAATGATTTCGGTAAGAAATTATATAAAATCTGTTTCTCAAAAAGAATACGATTCCAATTGGCGCCAAAAAGAAATTAATGTGAAGCATTCATTACACTGTGATCAAACTTAAATATTAACATTTTATGTCATTGAAGAAACTATAAAAAGTAAAAAAAAAAAAAACTTTTTTGCTCTATAAATCTACTGGTTCATGGAAAAGCGTGGTACAAAAAAATCACGTGCGGGAAAGGACAAATAGAAACAGGAGCGGGGCTTGTTGCACGGGAATTTGCGGAATAAAGGACATGTGGATATAAGGAAAAACTCTCAGATTTTTTCGATTCATGACGATCACTAATCGCCTTCAGCATTTATGCAAATTATCCCGTGTAAGCCAATCGATTTTTCACATCATGAAACTAAAAAATTTGACAGGTATTTCTCATTTTATTTAATCAGAACACAGCTTCCCAAAATTTCAAAATTTTGAAGTAATACTGCAAATCAAAGTAGACAGGTATCGTAATGTTGGTGTATTTCATTGTTTTATAGCAGGGATTACAGTCACATTTTAAATAGCAATTGCTGCATATCGACACAATAAATACTTGAGAAGGTCAATTGTCGAGTGCAGCTGTAACATGGTCAGTAAGCATGGAATGGTGTACTCTTAAAAACCTAACTGCTTTGAAATATATGTGCAAAATGTGAAACCAATACCCCTTACAGTTCTCAAGGTATAAGGCGTGGCAGACAGGAGCCGGGTAACGTGATACCACTGTTTCGCTCTGAAGACGATACAAAAATACATTACCCGAGAATGCTTTTTTGTGTTCTTTATCTTATGAGCAATATCACAATATGGGATAAGTAATGAAAATATTTTTTTTATTTAGTTATTAAGGGAGTCGATTGCAGTTTTATTGTGGGAAAACTGTTAAGTAGAAACTCTATATTTTTTTTACCATACAAAACTTACATTGACTTCAGTGTACATGTCAAGTTTGAGAATAATCTACAGTCCAAGTATTTTATCTCATACGTGTGGGGGATACTGCATGCCCATGAGATAATCTTATGCTTTATCAATGGGTAGATGCTTTATCAAAAGCACTACCGGTTTTGACACGATCCCTCGCTTCAAGATTTTTTTTTATTGAAACTGTTATTTGTAAAAAAAAAATGCCCATATAAAATGAATGATAAAGAGCAATGAGGTCAAGAAAAATAAAAAAAAAGTCTTATATTTCAAAGAAGTGTCTTAATTTATCCAGGCTACTTGAAGACGGACGTTACATGTAACCCCTCCCCCTTCCTTTAAATTGTTTACGACAAAGTAAAGCCTAGCAGTTAAGTTGTCATTATAACATTCCTTTAACATTTTCAACAATGCTTTCTTATATCATACTACGTATACCTACCTGGTAGTAATATAGGTATAACTTACCATGGATCAACAATGAATTTACCAGTAGGCAAATAGCCTTGCCTAAGCAATGCCACTGTACAAAGTGTTGGTTACTGAAAAGCGACTTTTTGGATAGTTTTTGTCTGATTTCAATGTACCTTGGCACACGCGTAAACTATACGAGGATACTTTATTCCTAAACCTTTTTTTTTTCATTTCGATGAACAGTGTGTCAATATTTATTACTCTACCTGTGAATGATATCAGTCTTGAATTAATTTTTTTCATTATTTTGTTCTCATTAGATAATTTAGCAACTGGTAAAATGGTGTCAGGCTTTTACTATGATAACAATTTTGGTCGATACAATGACATTAATACCGAAAATTTTACCAACGGAGATGGAGTTGACAGCTGTGAACATTTTAACGGGCACTATTTTCATTTTAACATCAACCTTCAAAAGGAATACAGCATTAAGTTGTCGAGGATTATATTCAAAGGTATTTATTTTACACCTTGAAAAACAACTGTGTACACATTTCACATTTTTACGTGTATGCAATTCTAAACCACAAGCACTCGTGGAATGGAAACCAGCCCCATATCCCCCTTTTTAAATCTGGAATCAAGTTGACCATTTTACTATTTTTGTGTTCTAGTATGCACCATAGTAAATTTTGTCGGTGTGCACAACATGGGACGGAAGTGCAATAACGGTAGCCCCGACTTTTTAAATGTTTTGCATTGTAAAAATTTTGTGGTTGTTTATAATAAGGTTATATGTTAAATGTAAATATTAATTCATCAGAATTTGCTAGTTACAGCTATCTTGTTATATACACAGAATTTGTCATTAATATGAAGAGAAAATTCGTGATTTTTAGTTCTACTGGTCAGAGACCAGAAGAGCTTATGCGATAGTAATGCGTCCGTCGTCCGTCCTTCTGTCTATCTCTCTGTCTGTAAACAATTTTTCAAAATGCTAGCTACTACTCCTACAGTTTTGGTCAGATTTCAATATAACTTGGCACACAAGTACACTACTCTAAGATACATAATACTTTGCATCGGTTTTTGATTTCGATGAACGGTGTTGCCGTGGTTACTAAAAATAGAAATTTCTGTGAAATTCTTTCAAAATGCTACTCCTCCTACAGTTTTGGTCCGATTTCAATATAACTTGGCACACAAGTAGACTACACTAAGATACATAATACTGTGCATCGGTTTTTGATTTCGATGAACGGTGTTGCCATGGTTACTAAAAAATAGAAATTTCAGTGAAATTCTTTCAAAATGCTACTCCTCCTACAATTTTGGTCCAATTTCAATATTACTTGGCATACAAATAGACTACACTAAGATACATAATACTGTGCATCGGTTTTTGATTTCGATGAACGGTGTTGCCATTGTTACTAAAAATAGAAATTTCTATGAAATTCTTTCAAAATGCTACTCCTCCTACAGTTTTGGTGCGATTTCAATATAACTTGGCACACAAATAGACTACACTAAGATACATAATACTGTGCATCGGTTTTTGATTTCGATGAACGGTGTTGCCGTGGTTACTAAAAATAGAAATTTCTGTGATATTCTTTCAAAATGCTACTCCTCCTACAGTTTTGGTCCGATTTCAATATAACTTGGCACACAAGTAGACTACACTAAGATACATAATACTGTGCATCGGTTTTTGATTTCGATGAATGGTGTTGCCATGGTTACTAAAAATAGAAATTTCTGTGAAATTCTTTCAAAATGCTACTCCTCCCTCAGTTTTGTTCTGATTTCAATATAACTTGGCACATAAGTAGACTATACTAAGATACTGTACATCAGTTTTTGATTTTGATGAGCAGCAAGGATCATTTTTATTTTATTGCTGTTTTAAATTTTCAAGTCCCAACTGCTACAGTTCTATTCCTTTGTTTTCAGTATAAACCAGTAGAGCTACAGTCTCGACAGAGACTTCTGGTTCGTTCTCGTATTTAATGTTTCGAATAAAATTACACGTACGGATGATGCCTAAGAATACCGGACACTTTCGTCCCAGCTGGTGCACACCAACAAAATTAACACTACCTGCAGATGATGTAATCAAGATATTTACAAATCGGGTATATAAAAATTACATGGAAATGGAATGGATATCAAATTTATTTATGCATATTACAATGTACATAATTTTCTTATGCATTAGCTAAACAATCACGGTAAGATAAACATAAGGATGAGGCAGACGACAAGAAAAGAGTACAAGCCTCTCTTTCTATGTATCAGTAATAGCTAGCTTAGGATATCTTGAAAAACAACTATATACTTGCACATATGTTATGTTAAAAAGAGACAAGAGGATTACATTATCGATAACATAATAAGTGCATATTAGTATACAGAAACAGGGAAAATCTGATTTGATAACAGATTTGAAAAAAAAAATGGAAGAGGGAGGGGGCGGTTCATACACCAAGTACCTGAGTTCTTATCACAATTTCCAATAAAAAGTTGATCCCATTGTTTGAATAAGCAAAATGGCTTACAAAAGAAATTTGATCGAAGCACTGAAAAAAAAACAACTTTTTTGCAATCTTAGTATGGTTATTATAAATTTTAAGAAAATATTAAAAATTCTCTTACAGGAAATTTTTCTTCAAACGGAACGAATTTTCGATCACACGATAACATCCATGATTGGCCATTTTACGTCTATAATGCATTTAGATCCGACGTTCCACACACAGTAGATTTTGATATTCAACGAACAGGATCAACCATTTACTTTTATATATGGTCTGATAGTAGAAGCCCTTTCGAATTTGAACTATGTGAGATAGAAATAAATGGTGAGTTGAAAGACATTGCGGTTGATGATATTTTACTTGTCAACTTGAAAAGCACGTACATGTAATTATCATATTTCTTTAGATATGATCCTCATTGAAATACCTTATAAATATTTTAATTTCAAATAGATTGCTTTAAAATTTAAAGTCTTTTTGCAGGTTGTGAGGTTGACCACTATAGTGAGGACTGTCTGCCCTGTAATAAGTCAGACAATTGTGAAGTTTGTGACGTTAACAATGGAGAGTGCTATATCTGCAGAGAAAACTATACCGGACCGAACTGTAGCATAAGTATGCATTTTTACGCTTCTCTCTATTTATTCAACGTAGTTGTAATACAGTGTATATAATGCAAAAATACCCACAGTATTGTATTCTAAATGACTTGACTTGTCATTTGAGGGCGGAGGGGGGGGGGGTGAAAACACTTAAATTTCACGGATTATTTTTTTTATTTATTCCTCACCGTTTATGATACTTTCAAAACGGTAATTGTTTTTGTCATGTAAGTAGAGCGCTTATGCAACATATGTCGAAACCGGAAACCTTTTCAAAGCGCTCCTATTGACAACTTATCTAAACTTTGACAAAGTCTTACCTATGTTCTCGATGTTTACTTGGCGTAATGATCTCCCTAGTAAGAGAGTGTTATATTGAGGAGTTCTTAATAGTGACATTTATCATAAACCAAAGTATTGAAAATATTAATATTAAAATCGACTTCTAGTTTGAACTCGTCGATTAATCCTGCGATAGCTATTTTTGTTAAAATTATTTTTTTGTCTTGATTGACTTACATTAATTATAAAGCACCAAAAGTAAATAATAATTATTTGACTAAATAATGCTACAAGGGCATTGAATGGACGGATTCTAAACACTTAAAAAATTGGTGAAACAGGAATTAAAAATAAATCTTGGCAATTAACAAATGTTTTAAAAAGTAATCATTTATTATTCACACACTGCTTGAAAATAAAATATTACTGTTAATTGCTTAGGTGACATATTCATCTTATTATTGAAAGTTAAGGATATTGTTAACTGGATAATTCTAGCAAAAGACACAAACTGTTAATGAAACGATACCTTTAAGCGTACATGTACATGTGAATTAAAAAAAAACTGTCAGGCAACAGCTTTACTTTTCACTCGTTTTACTTAGTTGCATGAAAAGTATTTGCTAAATAATCAGAATCAATCCCTAAATAATGTAGATTATGCCGGGCTTGTGCTCGTTTTTTAATTATTGTAACATACACATATACCATTTTCTTTTTCAAAGTTTTAAATAGTTTGCATTGTCAATAATGTAAAATTAATATATGTATTTTCAGTTTGCTTAGATTTGCCTATCCAATGTACAGGCCCACGGATCATGTAACAAACTTTGATTTACTATTTAAAGAGACACCGTGACGCACAAATGGGAAATTTTACAAATGTAGAATTTTTGCTTGACCCCTGTAAATTTACTTCAATTCCTGAAAGTATTACGTTTCAGAAAACATGGGTTATAGAACCTAAAAAAATTATTGAGAAAATTACAAGTGAAAATAATTTAAATATGTCCCAGCCCGAAAATATTGTTTAACTTTTTCTTCCCTATTGTACGCTTGCTCAGAAAAGTTGAATAAGCTACCATGGCCTCCAATAATGAATGTAGGTACATCAAGAATTTTGATACAATCTTAATAAGCCCTACTAACACGACGAGTTTAATTTGCAGTAAATTAATGCGAAGTAAACTAATTCAGATCAAACTAATGCGTATCAAAAAAATGCAAATTAAATTACGTTCACATGACAGCTAATGCGACGTTAACTATTGTGAATTACAAGTAGAGCTTTTTAAAAAAAGCTTACCGTCTTTAGCAACAACCTTAAACAATAAACTGATCTACATCTATTAAGTCCTATTATTCTTTTGAATTTCTTGATTTCGTATTTCTACTTTAGCATTTTACTGCTATTAGCCCTACCATGGTTTTCGATCGGTCATATCCGTAAACTGAGCGAGATCTGCCGGCAAACCCCGGTCGATTTCGTTAAACGTTACCTCCTTCCAACAAAAAAAAGGAAAAAGAATAAATACAAACTCTAAAGCCAGCAAGCAATAAAAATCAAATCTTATTTGCAACTTGATGAAAATAAAGAGACCTTTTAGTTACTGCTATTAAAAATATTGTTATTTAGAATTAATTACTGATGATTTTGTTGTTCGTTTTGTCATTTTTTTTAAGATTGGAAATATTGAAAAATTGTTAAGTCTTACGAAAATTATACCATCAGAAAGTTATCTTCCTTGCCTTGAACAGCATTTCAACCTATGAAACAATTGAAAATTTTCTCATTATGCTATTTCTACCAATCACAAAAGAGAGGAAGTTCATAGTCCGAAGACTTTAAAAAAAAGAAGACGGTAATTATACCTCAACTGTTATTACTCAACATGGTCATTCACTCAATGACAATGTCTTCATTGGTTAAATTCACGTTAAAGATCGTTTCTCTGGATTTCAATAAAGCATAGACTCGCGGGGACCGCCAGAGATACAGCAGCTTGTCAAAAACCGATCAATAAACAAAATTATTAACCGAAATATAGCTGAAATATTGTTTACTCAATTTTAAACAAATGCAATCAATCTTACCAACCATCCAGTGATTTGAATAAATGTCCAATCGGATAAGCTCTACCTTTAATAAAAAGGTGGGAGTTTTGTATTGAAGTGTACAGGAACGAGTTACCTTAATCATGTACCTGTGTGATGCGCATGTGCGAGTTAGTGGTTGTCTGGTCGCGGTAGTGAATGGTGGTGTGTTCCTGTTTATACCTTGTTGAATGAATACATAATCATAAAAAATATTGTAAGTCGTGTATGATTCATACTGAATATATATACATTTAAGCACTGAATTACCATTTGTTTGAAAGATGCAGTTTCATAACTGTAATGGTGTGTGCAAACAAATAGAGTTAGCGCGTTATGAAAATTTCTTTGCACACACCATTGCAGGTTTGAGACTGCATCTTTCAAAAAATGATAATTCAGTGCTTATATTTACATTTTTTATCCCCTGTATTTTCCGCAATTTTGATTTTTTAAAAATAAAAATTCCCGCCTTATCCTTCATCTAAGCTGCTTTCGATAGAACTGCTCTTTGAACAGCTTAATCCAAACATCCCGCCAGAGTTCTTTTGCTTTCAAACCAAAATCCGCAAGCAAAAAATAGTGCACAAAAAAAATAAAACCATAAACAATGTTTTTTTTTCATTTTTCAATCTTAAAAGATACACAAAGATACAAATGAATAGTATAAAGGACATATTTTGTTTAAAAGGTAGTGGTATAGACCCTGTATTCATACGCCAGACAGACTTCGGTGATTTGGTCTTGTGTGTTGTGTGTATTCATCACTTGTAATTTTGTTATGCTTTTTATTATGGTCAAACAAAGTAAATGTAAATATAAACGATTACAAGCGTTGTCAATTTTTAATACATAAAATACTTCACTGGTGCTGGGAGCAGGGTCAGTGGAGTATAGTATGAACATGTATAAACCGACAGCTCTGGTTATTGTTTATAATTATATGTGCATTCAGTTCTTATCATACAAACCTTACAATATTATAAATGCACAATCTTTCTGCAACACATACACAGCAACATACTGATATTCGTATCTCTACCATACGACAACTTCGAGCATGCGCGTACCTGCGCACAATCATAGCACACTTCAGTATCTTTGCCAGTCGAGCCTGTAGATCATCAGTAATTGACGTCGGAACTCGAGCTTTTTATCCAGGACACCATGCATGGGTGGTGTGTGGATAGGGTTCATATGTATATATAATAAGCCTGCTGCCTAATCTACCTATGTCCACCAAAATCGAATAAAAACTGTGTTCCTGCATAACTCGAAACACTGCTATTAATTGCTTGTTCTGTTTATTTTCACTGCAGAAATCACAAGAATTTTGGCGAGCGCTCGCGAACGTTCGCTCTGCTGAACTGGCCTCAGCTGGTCGAGGCAACGATTTTTTATGACGTATGTTCAGTGAGGAACCAATATGACTCATAAATCGACCAATCAGCTCAATGAGTTGCATTTAATGCATTTATGGGTTACTACATAAAATCCCAGCAGGCACGCAACGTTGCTTCAACGTTGAAAGGAGGTGGAATATAGGTTGCAACGTTGATCAACTATATTTCAACGTTGTTTCAACGTTGAGGTTTCAACGTTGAATCCTCAACCTTTTTTTCAACGTTGAAACAACGTTGAAGCTGCAACATATTTTCAACGTTGAATGTTCGTCGATATTTCAACGTTGAAACAACGTTGAAGCTGCAACATATTTTCAACGTTGAATGTTCGTCGATATTTCAACGTTGAATCAACGTTGAAGCTGCAACATATTTTCAACGTTGAATGTTGGTCGATATTTCAACGTTGAAACAACGTTGAAGCTGCAACATATTTTCAACGTTGAATGTTCGTCGATATTTCAACATTGAAACAACGTCGAAGCTGCAACATATTCTCAATGTTTGATGTTCTTTGATATTTCAACGTTGAAACAACGTTGAAGCTGCAACAAATTCTCAACTTTTGAAGTTTATTGATATTTCAATGTTGAAACAACGTTGAATATTCAACATGTTTTCAACATTGAGTATTTTCTGATATTATAGAATTGAAACAAGGTTTAAAAATGCAAAGTTGACTGTTTGTTGATTTCAACGTTGAAACAACGTGGAAGATCCAACGTATTTTCAACTTTAGGAAAGTTAAGAAAAGAACGGGTAATGGGTATTGAGCATATTTTAGTTTCAAGGTCAAAATATAAAGGTGTCTTTAACTCTTAATTTATGCGACTTTTCGCAAGATACACATGGCTGTATGCATTGCTAGAAAATATTGTACATGTATATATAGTTATACATTATGGTAATAAATGACACACTTGCATTATGAATTGATTTACTCAAAAGAGTTGTGCCAGCTAGTTCATCTAGTACCATTGTGAAATTTAATAAATTGTAAATATAGTTTTTTTTTTTTTTAAATACATATTTATAAAATATGTTAAATACAAGCATTAAATAAATAATGATATCTTTATCCAACATCTCACTGTAATTCCATGTTAATTTAGAATTAATAAAAATAATTATTTATTCTGAATTAATGTTCTTAAAATTAGACTCATATAGATCCGTGCCGTATACTCTTGCGCAAAATGTTACAATGTATACAGAGCGAATCTAGGAAGTCTTA